CGACACAATGATCGCAAAAAGTGACCAACGGAGCCGTCCAGTTTCGTAGACCTGAGAGATGTGATAATAAAAACAGTTCGAAGATGGTGTCATTGAATATAAAATAAAAATAATATGAAAATATAAAATGAGTGATAAGACTTTTGTGAAGGTAAAGAACGAAGTAAATGCTCGGAGGGCAGGGAGAGAACAAACTAACACTCTAATCACTCTGTATGTAGATCATATGTAACAAAGAACAAATATTTGATATACTGATTTTGAAGACCGTTGATGTCTACAGGTGTAATGGTGTAGTGCATTAGTATGTGCCGTTTGGTCGTCTAGTATGGTCTCGTTATGTTTTCGTTCACATTAAAATCGGGTGAATAAAAAGCTAAACACACTCACTTCTTGCGCTTATGGGCTAGCACATCAGAGCCAGACGTAAGACCTACAGAATGGATTTCAATTGATCGAATGCACACATTAGTCACCGTAAGTCACCGTAGTCACTCTTAACCAAAAGAGCTACTGCCCCGTGCTGGTGTGGAATGATGTGCTATGAAGTGAGATTTCAGATCTGAGCACATAGTCAGCGAGCGCTGATCCGACGTGCATTGTGGAGCTTCCGATTGAACGTGTGCGTGAGTGTCAGCGTAGTCATTAGGTTATTGAGCGCCGTAACCACATCCAGCGGGATAGCCTAATGTCCGTTTTGTCGTTGTGACGTACATTGGAAAAAGTCGGGGCTCACCAGCCACAAAGAATAAATTTTTGCTTATGCGACACTATGATCGCAAAAAGTGACCAACGGAGCCGTCCAGTTACGTAGACCTGGGAGATGTGAAAGTAAAAACAGATTGAAGATGATGTCATTTAGGTAAAAAAAACATAAATTAATGCAAAGACTATTTAGTTGGAAGAGTAAAAGTAAGCAACTCAGGAAAAGGGGAATAAAAACTCACACTCTAGTCATCTTTTAATAAATGATGAAATAATGATCTATGAGTAAACAAGTCAATAAAAATCCGCTGGTTAATAATGGTATTCATAACTAAAATAATCGCACCATACAAGTGTCTAATAAATGTGGTACTATATATGTTCTAAACTCTAGATAAAAAATTGATGACTGATAATCACCTGTGTAACATAAAAAATATATAAATGTCGTAAATGTAACAAATTCATAATAAAAAGCTCATAAAGTGCAAAAATACATGGGTTTAAGAGGTAAAAAAATGTTGGTGCCATAATAACCAATTAGAATTAAGTAGTGGATAAAGGGTGATCCCCCTCCTCAGGAATGCACTGCGATCACCAATGACGTTTCGGAGAGCCCGAGACCTGTACTAACGCCACTCGTCAGGGGCGTGTCCTTGCAACAGATCTCACCGCCTGCACTCTACGTCATGCTAGTCAATATTGCAATATAATAGGACTACACTACAAAAGCCAAAAAACCAATCCCTATCAAGCTAATATGTTCTTAGCAAAACTACTCATACCCAAATGATTATTTTTCCATTCCTTTTTGGTTCCCGTAAAAAAACGGCTGAGTGGAAACGACCTTAATAAAAGTAATAAAATAAGTTTAATAAAAAAATAATAATAACAATTTCAACTCTTAAGTTAAAATTTTAATCAAGTAGTTTAGCAAATATTTTACAGTTATTTAAATATTTTTAAGGTCTTATTAGCTAAAAGTGAGTGATTAACAAAGATTTCTTTAGGAGTTACGTCTACGAAATTACTGTAGAGTGTGTATACTTTATTTTTTCTGCTTTAAGTGTTAAGAAAAATATAAAACCAATACAAAAATAATAACTTAGAATAATAAAACCCTTAAGGAATGCTTATACAGGTATTTGTTCCTTAAAATGTTGGTAATTGAATTTTGGTCTCTTATTATTTCAAATCAATTTGAAAAAGGTTTATATTATACAAGGAAGTAACATAAAAAAGTAAGGCATAAAAAAATATAATTTAAAACAATAAGTCCATTAAATATTAAGTATACTCTGACAACTGATGATATTCTGTATTTTTTCTAAAAATTAAAACACATATTTTCACTTAAAACATAAAGTTCAGATTTAAAACAAAGAATTAAGACTATATATAGAAATGATCAGTAGTACAAGAACTATAGTTACTATAGTTACAGCTTAAATTTAAGATTTAAATCCTATTGCTATTCTATTTATCATTGAAAACACTAAACCTACAAATTTAAGGTACACATTGGTTTTCTTGACGATCAATTCAGAGGCTTCTATCATTTTTGGTTTAATACCGTCAACTTTGCAGGATTGCTTGCTATAAACTGACTTTAAAACACCATTGCAAATAGGACACTGCCTGTAGCCAAATACACAACACCTTCCTTTACATAGACATTGATCTTTGCATTTGATAAATTGTTCTTTTATTATTGCACGATTATTTTATTCACCTGCTTTTTCTTGTTTTTTTTCTTATTCACGTTTTCTTTCTTAGCTACCTTTTCTTTAGCGACCTTTTCCCCCTCCATTGATCCATATTGTTGAGTTACTTTTATGGCTTTTTTAGAGGGTTTTTTTGGAATAACCTTTGAATATGGTAGCAAATTCGAAACGTCTTCAAGAGGTAATGGAGATTTAGTAAGATCATGGATAATTTTATATGCATTTTCAAGTTTTTTTCTGTAATATTCACGAGAACCTGTTTTAACATTGTGAGGGGATGAAACAATCGGGACTTTTTGTACAGAGCATCGTTTTGGGGTCTGAGAAGACTGAATAGTTGCTATACATCTTGCTGCTTGTTCAAATTTATCATTTTGCACCCAGTTAACATTTAGACCTGACTCTGCAATACCAACCGCTCTGGCTGTTTTAATTAAAAATTCTGTTGTTGTCCATGATGACCATATCTCTCCTAATATTTCCATAAACCCAGAACAATCAATTGTCATCATACTAGAAAACAGTTTAAATTTATAATGACGGTGTAAACTATGATTTACTTGATCCAACATTTGCGTTACACCTGTTGTGTTTGGCGGACCAACAAAACGACGAATGTATTTTTCACGACAATAATGAAGGACGCTTACGTCAAACCTTGAAGAGTGACCATCTGTTAGTACCACCACAGATCTCTCAACATTTTTCTTTGTTAACTTGCTATCAAAAAATTTATAGAAATCGAGTAGAGAATTGTGATCTTGTCCTCCATGTTCTGTAGTTGATATAAGGAAATTTGAAGTCTTTTCCACAGGGGATTTTGGTGTCTTTTTGCTGGTTATTCCTTTTCCTGATAATACTACATGGCAAATAACTACATCCCCAGCACAAGACACAAGTGGGTTAATAGTAATACAATCTCTGTTCTCGCCGATCATTTGGTAGCAACTGTCACCTTTTCCATCAAACACCAATCCACTTGCACTCCCGTCAACTCCAAAGTTAACAAATTGTGGAGTTTCATCATGAATAATAATGCGTTTAGTATCTATTACACCGTACCACACTCCTACTGAAGTTTTTCACTGTTCTTTATTATACCTGCAATGTCTTTAAATTCTTCAGCTATTTCTTTAAATGACTTTCACCCATTTCTATGGTGCAGTTTAAAGCACGGTTCATAGAAACTCTTCCTTGTCTTTTTTGAGTTAGACTGGGTTTCTTTGCCATGAATCTTGACCAGAAAGAACGTGATGATTTATTTATGAGTATTGCTTGTTCTGCATTTGGCAAAAACTTGCAGATTTTTATTAGCATGCATACGATATTTTATTATAGTTAAAATGACTGTGGGGAGTTCTTATTTTGTGATATCTTGTAAACATCTGTTTTTTATATTTTGCATACAACACTACTGCATTTGCTTCATCCTTTGTCAAAATTGAAAGATGATTTTTATTTTCACCAATTTTAGCACCGTCTAAAATGTGATTTATAGTTCTAGGATCAACATTAAAACCACCTTGTTTAACAGATTTGTAGCTTCGGCAGTTGTTTTTTTACAATAATCCACAGCATTTGCTAAAATGTTTTCGTTCAATTTTATTTCGTCTCTGTAAGAAGCTGCTTAATATTTTGTTTTAGGTTTTAACCTAAGATTAAACTTTGGTCTCATTTTAATATACTTTAACTGTAAAAACACAATTAAAAAGCATTATGAATAATTTAAAATATAACTTTTTAGTTCTTTGAAAAATCTAACCTGCATTTTAAGGTACAAAAAACCTACATTATGAAGTACAGCTGAAAATCTGAAAGTCATTTATACAATCTATTTACTTGTATTTAACATAAAACAATTAGGAAATTATAACACAAAACTTCAACAGAAATAAAAAGGTTGTTCCAAAGTTATTGCCATAAAATAAAACTTACATTTTAAGATTCACATAGCAAAATAAGTCTTATTTTGTGGAGCTATTGCTAATTCATTAAAAAGTGTAAGTAAACAACTACCCCAAGGGAATTTAAATGACTATAAGGTATGTTCATATTCTAAAGAATAGCTTTCAGCTATTGTAACAAAAATTTTTATGGCTATTCAAAAAATCATCTACATTTTAAGGTACAAATACCTGTAATCATAAATTTACGACATAATGCAAAGCACAACTATTTTTTTACGCCAGCCTTTCAAAACTGCAATATATTGAAAATATTGCAGTTTTGAAAGACTGAAATAACTAAGGTCTTATATGTAACTATTATGTAGTCATATATGAATATATGGTTAGGTAGAAGGGAGGGGGTCACTTTATTTACAATCAAAATTAGTTCAGTTGTAATTGTATAATGCTTATTTTAATAAATACAATCAAAATATTTTTAAAATATCAAAACATCATTAAATAATATATAAAATATTTTCTGTGAATTTATTGAATATCAAGTTTTGTTTTTTGGAGTTTAAAGAAAAAGTTCAGATAAGCTTTAAAATTTTTTTCTCCGGTGAATATCCTCGGACTTGGAAGAAGTAAATATATTTAAATAAGATAAAAAAAAAACCAATCGTTTAATACAGGAATGTTTTCATTCAACAGTTATAACAGTGCAAAGAGTTTTTTATAATTATATATATTTATGAGTTGTAAATTGAAGCTTAAGTTATGTTATGTTATTTTATAACTTTTTCACTGACAAACAGCAATATTTGGAAAAATATATATATATATAGAGTTTAAACTCTTCACTTCGTCTTCAATTTTTTATTCACTGTTGAGAATGGATAATCCCATACCTTGGACGATATGCCGAATCCTGAAAAAAAAAAAAAAATTAAAAACAAGAAATACTTAAAAAAACAAAACAATATCAATATAATAAAAGAAATACATCTTGAGTTTAATTTATTACAGATATGTAAACAATTTACCGCTATTATGGTCGTCAAAATGATGTAGAACATGATAGTGCTTTAGAGAGTGCATATAACTTCCTCGATCTGGAGATCCATGATGGAGGTAATAATGAATCAAGTCATACATAATGTATCCTACAAGCATTCCAGCCATTGTGCAACCCCCAAGACCATAAGGAAGTATAAAATTCAAAAATAAATAAATTGGAGTGGCTAAAATACCGGCAGCAACAGGTGGAAACACTAATCGATTCCTATCAAAAGGAACCTAAACAAAAAAAGTCTTAAAATTAACTTCAAAACATAAATACTATCGGTTTTTATTGTAATAATATTAGCAATATGTTAATAACATTATGTGCATGTTTTTTTTTGTAAGCAATTTATAAAACAATTTATCTCAAATTTTAATTTTTTAAAACTTTTTTTCAATATCTCTTTTTCATTATTTTTTTAAAAAAGTCACTCCTGCCTGTTTTTCAATAATGCCTAACAAACTTTATTATTTACTAATTGGCTAACTTGTGAAGTACGTAAAGTGTCATAATTAACTAACTAGTTAAGTACCTGAAGCGTCATAATAAAATATTTATCCTTGATGTAGTGCTTATATTATATCCTTGTTGCAGTACTTAGTTACCACAACCAAGTGTAACAAATTAAAAATAAAATTACCTTGTGGTGTTGGCCGTGTAGTAGGAAATGCAAAGTAATAAAGAACCATGATTCAGTACTTGGTTGCATATGAAACAAATAACGATGAAGAATATATTCCGATAGAGACCATAGTGGGATTCCAAGCAAAAAAAAACCGAAAGAAAAAAAATACGCAATCTTTTTTTCAGAAGTGTAAAACTCAGAAACAAAAAAATTCTGATAAACTCTAGTAGTAGAATAAAACTGTATTATTGTAGCAATCGGTAGCCAAATCAATGGAATCATCCACCACTTTGTTTTTGAAAAAAATTCAATAAAATCAGAGTCAAACAACCGTAATTTTCTAACAACTGGAGAGTGTACCCATTTGAAATAATTTTTGCCAAACTTGTGTGCTTGGAAAACCATACCACGTTCCCAATTTACGAGATCCTAAAAAAATTAAATTAGCATTTGTAATTTGTAGGAGGCAACATATGGAGCATTCAAGTCTTAAATGCAAATTATATGATCAACAACTAAATCAACTCTAACTGTCAAAAAAGTAACGAACGACGTATTGTGCAAATATTACCGGTTTTGAATTTAAAAATTTTAACCATTGCATCTGTTTACATTAGTTTAAATAACCAAGAAAAAGGAATAAGAAAATGTTTAATAATAAACAAAGTGTTTACATATAGAATGCAGAATTTAAAATTAATGGAAATTTTCCCGAAAATAAAAAGCAATTTATAAATGAACGCTTTTCAACAAAAATAAAAGTCACATTTTAAAAATGCTTTTAATGATTTGCTATTTAAAAAATATGTTGGATATATAAAAAAAAAATTGAATTGATAAAAAAAAGGAAATACTGATTTCAAGTTTTTTTGAGTTGAAATGTAGGAAAAAGTAATAAAAATGTAACTATATAGTGGCCTATAGTTGCCATAAAAAAAAAAAATTCCGAGAATATTCTTCGTGGCCCTTCGTGGCCCTTGCCGTACGGCAACAGCAAATTTATTGAGCGTGTGTTTGTTTATCTCAAAAAAATAATGGCGTCAAGAAAAGCAAATTTTAAAAAGCTATTTTTAAAATAGTTCTTTCCAAGTGTTGTTTCGAATTTGTATCGCCATTTTAGCAGTTATTATATTTCATACGGAATTTTTTTTTTATGACAACGATGGGCCACTAAACAACTATTAATCTGTTTAACTATTTTTAAACCAACATAAACAGCTTTGCTGCAAAAAGTAGTGATGTTTAGTGGGTGTTGGGCATTACCGTCATTTAGTTGGTTTGAAATATTACAAAAGTTATTTTTTCATTCAAAAATAGTCTTTTTATTTATTATAAAAGAACCAAGAAAACCTCTAAAATACAACCTAATATGTACTCTATTATATATTCTAAATATACCATTTAAAGAAGTTACTTTGATATCCGAAGTAATTTTGATGGGGTAAATATATATGTGACTATTATAAAGAATGACCTTAGAAACAAAACTGTTGTATGTAAAAGAGGCTTAATTCTTTGATGAGAACTCAACAGTAGTGCTTGAACCTCAGTTCAAATTTCTTCACGAGAGTCATTTAAGCAACCATAGAGGAAAACATTTGCTTCACATGCCTGGCTCCCAGTGCAATACATTTATTACCATCTCTTGATGTTCCATAAGTTTTTCTCCTAAAGTGACTGTTCCGCAAGTTACTATTGCAAGAGAGTTCATTTCGATAAAAAAAATTTATTTTTTCATCGTTTCAAAAAGGAAATTTTTATATTGGTAATATTTTGTCACTCTTAAAACAATATTTAGTTACAAACATTTGGGTACATGAAGATGTTTAACTTTTGCAATTTTATTTATTTAGAGAACAAATTTTTATAATGGACTACTAAAAGTTGCTAAGCAAAAGCGCTCGTTTTGGATTTGCAACAACCGAAAACGCTAATTTTTTATTTCGCGAAATAGCATTTTATAAAAATAATTTATAAAATGCTATTTCGCAATTCATTTTAATTGAAAAGATAGTCGACCACTTAGACCATCTTGCAAAAAAAGGCATTTCTCAAAAATGCATTAAAATGTAAAAAAGCTATTTTTTTACATTTTTATTTTTTATTTTTTCGTAAATATTCAGAATTCTCATTTCAATAAAATAATGCTTCGAATGAGAGAAGTGGTTTGCAAAATTGATTATACGGATTGTGCGTTTCTGACGGAGATAATGACGTTGCAACTTACTTTTTTCTGTACTTCCCCAAGCAATATTGGCATAATTTAAATAACTATGTATAAATGAATAATAAAGTTGGATTAAGACTTTCTTATTAAGGTAGATTTGTGATTTATATAGGATGCCCATGTTTTTAGAAATTTTTGTGCTTTTATAATCAATATGGTGATTCCAAGTAATGTTTTCATCAAGATAAACACCTAAAAATCTCTTTTTATTTCCTTTTGATCGATAAAGATTTGAGGTAATTTTGGTGGGAAAAGTCGCTTTTTTGTAATCAATGAAATAAAACCCATTTTGTTTTATTAGTATTCAAGGTTAACTTATTACACTTGAACCAATTAGATATATGTCTGAGTTCTTTGTTCACTATTTTAAAAAGTTCATCAATATCATAGTTAGAAAGCAATAAATTTGTATCATCTGCATACATAATGCTTGTTAGTTTTGAAGCTATATTTAAGTCATTTATATAAATTAAAAAAAGGAGAGGTCCAAGAAACTCCACAGGTTATATTAAGAAAAGTGGATTGGTAATCAATTTTAAATGGTACATATTGCTTTCGGTTAGATAGATAACTTTTAAACCATTTTAAAATTTTATTTTTTATTCCGTAGTATTTGAGTTTATAAATTAAAATATGGGGATCGACCGTATCAAAAGCTTTTGATAGGTCAATAAAAATTCCTAGTGTATATTGTGATTTTTCGAATGATTTTGAGATTTCAAGTACAAATTGGATAATTGCATGTTCAGTTGAGTTATTTTTCTTGAAACCAAATTGATTGATGTAAAGTAGATTATTATCATGAAAATATTTGTATATTCTGTTAAACATAATTTTTTCTAAAATTTTTGAAAATGTGGAGAGAACAGAGATGGGGCGATAATTACTGATTTCAGATTTGTCCCCTTCTTTAAAAATAGGAATAATTTTTGCAATTTTTAATTGCTCTGGGAACACTCTTTGATGGATAGAAGCCCTAAAGATTTTAAAAAGAACAACTTTAAGTTGTTCAAAGCAATCTAAAACCACGTTTCCATTAAGTTGATCTGCTCCAATTGCTTTTTTTTTTAACAGATTTAAAGGCTCTTTCAAACTCATCAAGCATTAATTCGGAAGATAACTCATCTGAACAAATGCAATTATCCAGGGGTTCTAGATAGTCAGTAAACAAAGATTTGGTCTTAAGGATTTTTTCAGACAGTGTTGGTCCTATGTGAGTGAAATATTTGTTAAATTCTTGAGCTATAGTTTTTGGTTCATATAAACTTTTGTTATCGACTCTAACCATTTGTGGCAGAAAACCGGAGCATGGTTTATTTTGCCAATAATTTCTTTCATTATTTGTCACGTGCGCTTTGTGTCGTTTTTAAATGTATTGAATAATTGGCAGTAATAATTTTTCTTTAAATTTTTGCGAATTTTTTTAAATAGGTTTTTATATTTCTTATAGATTTTTTCGCTTGAAGTTGTTTTTGTTTTTAAAAAATTTATAACTTTTGTTTTCGCTTGAAGTTGTTTTTGTTTTTAAAAAATTTATGTATAACTTTTGTTTTATTCTGGATGATTTTTTAAAACTTGTCGAAGAAAATAACTTTAGTAAGTTTTTTAGTAACTTAATTAAAATCTACGCAACCCCGAAAAAATATATCCTCTAAAAACCAATAAAAGTTTTACTAACAGCATTATTGAAATCGCTGAAGTGTTTAACAAACACTTTAGAAGTGTTTTTACGGTAGAAGACAGAAATTTACCTAAAACAAATACTTTTGCTAGTGAATATATTAAGATGGATTTCGTAGATTTTTCAGCAAAAATGTTTTTTAAAAACTAAAAAATCTAAAACCTAGCCCATCATTTGGACCTGGCAGAATACCAATATAGTTTTCAAACAGTTAGCGCATGTAATATGTATTCTGTTTTTGAATATACTTGAATCACGTTTTACGTCAAGCTTGTTACCAAAATAGTGGCTTCAAGCTTCGGTTTCCCCTATTTTTAAAAAAGGATTTAATTCAGACGCTAACAATTATAGACCTTTCTACCTCATATGTACTAGATGTCGTGTCATGGAAAGTATCGTTAGTTCAAATATCGCTGATTATCTTAATATAAATAATCTAATAACACCTAACTAACACGGCATTTTATCCAAAAGATCTACGTGCACAAATCTTCTGGAATCAACTAATGACAAGAATAAAGATTTAGATAGCAATTTAATTACTGACAGGGTGTACATTGATTTTCAAAGAGCATTTGACCTTATCCAAAATTTTTGAAAAAATTTGCAATGTATGGTATAATAAATAACCTCCTTCATTGAATATCAGCATTTCTTTCCAACAGGTATCAAAGGGTTCTGGTCGGAAATTAACTATCTGATCCGACCACATCCTTAGTGGAGTTCTACAGGGTAGCACTTTGAGTCCAACGTTATTCTTGTTCTATATTAATGATCTAACTTCTACAGTAAAAGATCTTAATTGCTTTCTAATGTTATATGCCAACAATATCAAGTTATATAGTTCATTTAAGGATGCCAATTACAGTCACAATCTTGCTGTTGCCACCCAGAAAATAAAGCTCTATAGAATTTTCTATAAACTTTTAAAACAAATGGCCAATAGAAACTCTATAGAATTTCAATAGAATGTCTATTAATTTGTATAGAAATTGCTATAAAAATTTTTTTCCTATAAAAAAAAAAGTAGAAAAAAAAATTACAATAGGACTTTTTCCAAAGCTAACAGAAACTCTATCGAAATCCTATAGAATTCTATAGAATTTCTATAGGCCATATCAGTGGCGGATCAAGACTTTTTTGGGCCCGGGGCTATTTTTGTTTTTGGAGGCCTTTTTATATGGGTCTAAAAATAATTAATAAAAAAAAATGACCCCCTAAAATTTTTGGGGCCCTTAAATTTGCGGAGCCCGGGGCTATTCTCCCCCCTAGCCTCCCCTCCCTTGAACCGGCACTTGGTCATATGTTTCAAACATTTATATAAAATTCTATAGAACTTTTTTTACTGGGATTATATCAAGTTTGTTTTCAATAAATGTCCGTTAATACTCTTTCTCACTCAGGATTGTTAACGTTTGGTATAGCTTGCTGTCTGACGTCGTTAATGCCAAAACTCTATCAATATCAAAAAACATTGTTGCAGTTTATTTTTGTTTTATAACTGTGGTATTATATATATATATATATATATATATATATATATATATATATATATATATATATATATATATATATATATATATATATATATATATATATATAAATATATATATATATATATATATATATATATATATATATATATATATATATCCAAGAAAAAAAGTTCTATAGAACTTTCTATAAACTTTTGAAACATATGGCCTATAGAAACTTTATAGAATTTTTATAGAGTGTCTATTAATTTCTATAGAAATTGTTATAAAACCTTTTTTTCTATAAAAAAAAATGTAGAAAAAAAATTTCAGTAGAATTTTTTTAGAAGTTAACAGAAACTCTATAGAAATTCTATAGAATTCTATAGAATTTCTATAGGCCATATGTTTCAAAAGTTTATAGAAAATTCTATAGAACTTTTTTTCCTGGGATTCAACTAAAAAAAAACTTTATTTCGAAATCGCAACGAGTACTTGCGAAATACATTTTGTTTATTTTGGTACGAAAAAATTTAATTTCTTAGCATTAATATTCTTTCAAAATAATTTTATTTTTTCCCCGGAATTTTACAAAATCTTCCGGTTTACGACTCTAATATAAACATATAATATAGTCTCTCAGAATTATTAAATTTTAGATTTTAAACACAAACGTTTGAGTGATTTTTTTTACAAATAAACTACCTCATTCCATCCAGACATGTCAACATCCATATCATCATAAGTTTTTTTATTAGTAATTTTTTCCTCATGACTGGGCTAAAAAAAAAAAAGAATTTTAAAAGGTATCAAATAACTATGTTTGTATAATTACATAAATTTTTAATGTATTTTATTTCTTATTTTTAAGTAATGATATTTTTAAAAATTTAAACCAACAACAAAAAAAATCAAAATATAGGAAAAATTAACCTGAATTGATACTTAGAAAACTGAGTTAAATTATCTTTTACTTTTATTGTTTTTAGGTTTTGTGAATTAAAAACACAAAAGCCTTAAAAACAACACGTATGCATACAGAGTTTAAATTTTAAAATTAAAATTTTTAGCATGAGTTTTTTGTTGAAAAAAAAACAACCACTAATCTTAAAATGGATGGAAGGCAAAGTATAACATAATAACTAAGCTACACATATTAACTATATGAAGAATAAAATGTGTTGGTAAGTTCGAGTTTATTTAGTCGCGTAGCTGCGAACTCGTGGCTCCGCTGTAATATTTTCAAAATCCTCCCTCTTCTTACGCAAATAACTAGACAAGCATTATTTTTTAAATGACAAAAAAATCATTAGAACTAAATTATCTTTTTTTTTTTATTTAGTTATATATTATATTACTTTGTTATATTTATTTTATAAATAATCTGTATTTCGCTAAATGGAAAATTTGCATTAAACTGAAATTGGTTAAATCATTTTAGTGAAGTTAACTATATGTTAGGAAACAATTTTCAATGACGCATAAATACGTTTGCATTTACTTACTGCTCCATCACAATCGATCATTAATTGTTTTGTCTTAAACCCTAACGCCGACTCTTGATCTTGTCAAACGAACCAGTCCATATATAGTGAATTATTTTCCATATATAGCGAAACCACTAACGTGTGATTTTGAAAGAAAGAATTATAAAGGTCTGCTTTGAATCTTTTGGTCAAAAGTTTTTGACAAGCTTGTTTTGAAATTACAATAAAATGACAACTGTTAGGCGGTTGTTAGACTTGTGCAATACACATTTTTTCTATCTAAATGTGACAACTGTTTTGATTATTAAACAAAACAGTTGACAATGTCATAGTGAGACGTCAACTTGTAATGATAAAGTTTGCTTTTTTACCAACCAACTACAAACAGTGCGGTTAAAAATTATAGTACTTATATATTTTTTTAAAAGTAGAACGATGCACTATGCACGTCGGCATAATTATTTATGTTGATTTTACACTGTGACAAAGATTTGTGAGGCAAAATTTTGCTTTGTGTTTTTAATTTATTTTTTAAGTTTGTAAAAAGGTCCTTTAATAATGCAGTTAAATTAAAAAGCATGATGAAATTGTATTGTCTGGATTAATTAGTTGATAAAATGTTTATAGTTCATTTTCAAATACTTACATTTTATAACAAGGGGTTGTCCATAAAGTACGTACGCTCATAGATGGGAGATGGGAGGTCTTCAAAAAGCGTACCTCAGCGTATGGGGGGGGGGGGAGAAAAGATTCAATTTAAATGTACGTATATCGATTTTCTAATTTACCACAATTAACCAGCTAATCAATAGAAAAGTTAAAATTTTGACTAAAGATCCTAGTTTGATGATGTTTGGTATAGGAAGTAGAGGGTATAGTTTCCCTAAATGCACACAAATGCATGAGGGTCTGCAGGATTTTTTGATGTTCCAGATAGGACACTTTCACACACTGTGCAAACTCCATACTTAAGTATGTATATACTTATGCCAAATGAGGAAGCCTTGCAAATAATTAAGAAAGGTGGAAGCCTGGGAGCAAATAAGCACTGAAACGCCCCTCTCCCCCCCCAAAAAAAAAGGGGGGGCGTAAATTTTGTATGGGCATAACTACGAAATTTAAAATCTGTCAATAAACTTTAAATTTAGTTTTAGAAGGTAAAGTTGAAATTTTACTAAATTAGTGCCCTCACGCTTAGGCAGGGGGGGGGCAAGCGTTTTAGGGCTTTTTTGTTTTCAGGCCTCCGCCATCCCAATTTTTTGCAAGGCCTCCTTATTTGGCATGTTATACTTAATTTTTAAAGTTTGCGCAAATTTCACATATTTAGCATAGGCATACTAATGTTTGGAGCTTGTGCAAGCTCCAAACTTAAGTATACCTATGCCAAATGTGTGAATGTGTCCTATCTAGAACATCAAAAAATCCTACGGGCGCCCATGCATATATGCCACCCCTTATATACTGGCCCTAAGTAAGGCGTATTTCAGGCAATCTATTTTTTGAGTCGACAAAAAGCAGGTTTTAGCGGCAAAATCCCCCAAATTTTATCGCTAGGTTTCGCTAAAATAAAAAGCTCTTTAAATTAACAAAAGGCAAAATTTTCTGCCCTTTCCCTCCACCTTCCCCCCCCTCCCTCCAAATTAAGGCATACGGGTAGCCTATCCTCGGCACTGGGTTTTAGGCTTTGTTTTCAATTTTATTGATCTCGTGACTGGTTCTCGTGACGGACTTACTAAATAGGGGTGCCTAAAAAAAACATCCGCCTTAAGTTAGTTTATTTTTATTTGATTCGTCATTAAAACAAAAAAAAGTACAGTGTGATTCGACCGGGGAGATCACGGGACACCCTTGGCTCAGTACTCAGCACAACCACTTAACCAAGCCAACACTTTGATGATGTATAATTTAAATATATTAAAATTAATATTTGTATATATATTTGAAGACGTTTTTTAAATTGAGACCCTGTGCCGCAAACAAAGAGCTTTTGGGTCTAAGGTACTAGCTTTTGGATCTAAGGTACCTCCTCCACCTTTTTTTCTCCATAAACTTTTTCATTGAAAAAGAAGTTGTTTTTTTTGTTTTTTTTTTTTTTTGGGGGGAAGGGGTATTTCAAAACCGTACGTACTTTTAAGGTGGGAAGGACTTAGAAGTACGGATGGCAACAGGGGGGAGGGAGGGAGTCAGATTTTAAAATTTTTGGACGACCCCCAATTTATTCAAAATTAATTTAACCATTTGATCAAATATGCTCTTCAGGAAATTTATGAAAAGTTAGCGGAAAATGAAAAAGTAGTCAAATTTTATTTTTATTTTTTTGTCTATTTTTAGCAAATGAATGTTGATGTAGACGCATGAAGTTTATTTAAAATATGTCTTTAAAACTAATTAATTTAAGTCATTTTAAATTTCACGGTTTTCTTATTGTCTCATGATAAAAAAAATCATTGTAAAAATGTTATTTTAACCATTAATTTATTTGCATAATCCGAATTAATTTAGTGTGAAAATGGAGCTAACATGTTCAATTTGTTGTTGGTCAGATTTTAAAAATATATATATTTCAAGGAAATAACAAATAGAAGACTTTTGCAATTTTCAAGCATAACATAAGTTAACAAAAACATGATAAAGTCTTTTTTTTTTTTCTAAAATTTAGTTGAAAAATATTATTTAATAATATATGCGAAAGAATATTAAATGTTGCGTTTTTACATTTAAAGCCTAAGTAACGATGATTAGTTAAAGCACATTTTAATTTCGCGTAACGTAAGTTGAAACTACATGCATTCACTAAAGTTCTGGCGCTTTTTCGTAAAGTTTTTGTTGCTCATAAAATGAACGTACGTTTTTACATAATTCTTATTGGTTAATAGTTTTAGTAAAACAATTCGTTTGTAAATGCAATTAAGGGGGGTCGTCAATAAAGTACTTCGTCCTATATTTGTCAATTTTTATTCCCTTTCCTCCTGTGACAAACAATTTGATATACCTGTATCATCTCTCCCTCTTCAACTATAATACAGTTTTTCCGTCAAAAAGATTTAAATTTAATAAATTTAAATAAAAATTTAAATAAAAATACTTTGCAGCATTTTAAAAATTCAACATAATAAAATTAAAGCAATACGCATAAGCATAAACATAAATATAATAAACATAAGATATAAATAGGCTAAATTTAATAGTAGTAATAGTCGAGTTACGTCATTTTCTAGGCTTTTCTATTTTAAAGTAATTTCTAGACTTTTCTAAACGTGGTTTTTTTATTTTTATTTTTTTTTACTAACAACTCGTATTACGGGTTAGTAAACATAAGAAGTGTAAGTAAAATTTTCGACAAAAATATTTTTATATTTGAATGACAATAATTTTATAATGTTGAATGACTTGATTTTATTGATATTATAAATTTGAATAATATTAATAAATTTGTCATACTAAAATAATTTTTTGAAGCTGCTATTGTGGAAAAAACTGTTATCGTTTCATGAAAGTTATAAAAAATCACCTAGGAAATTGCCACCAGTTTTTTAAAATTATTTGTGTTAATTACTTTTAATTAATGAGTTCAATATTTTTGCAATAGACGTCTTCACAGTTCCGAAAATTTCGTGTGCGTGCACGGTTTTTTAAGCGCAGAATCGCATGAAAACAAGTAAATACACATATCATATTTTTACATATCATATCAATAAACCTGGCTTTTGCCTAGGTCAAATATTAACCCAGCTCGTTTACTACCTATAGTGTTTGTGTTATATAATATTTGCAATCAAGGAAAAAATATGTAGTTAATTAAATAAATTCTCTAAATAGTATTGGAAAGAAGTATGCAAAATGGTATTGCTAATGTAGTCAATATGAGTTTTCCATGTAATATTTTCATCAAGAATTATTCCTAAAAACTTTGCGGCGCACGTATGAGTATTTGACGATTTTAGCTGGCCAAAATTGGAATTATTAAAAGTGGCCGTACCCACTTAATTACCTACCCTTACTTATTCTCGATAATGGTCGCTTATTGAGCAGTTAATGGTTTGGTTATAAAAGTAGTAATTGGACTAGTTAAATATCCGATCTATATCTGCGTGGTTCATTTTATTTACGAGCGATTTTAGTGGTGCTTATTAAAGCTGTGTACAAGTGTTTACAACAGAAGTTTTACAGTGTTATATCATGGATGAATCTATGACAGGTATGTACATTATTTACTCTTACTACCGTTTTGAAATAATTATTACCACAAAAGTTATGTACCATGAAACTTAGCATTTTTTTAACGAATTTTAA